GGCCCCCAGCCGCCGGCCCGGGCCGTCCCCGCCGCGCGTGCTCCCGCCCGCTCACCGGCTACGTTGAGGATGCTGGCACTGGTTGGGGGCTCCGGGGACGCCCCCGCGCAGGTGCGCCCGTCCGGGCCCAGCACCAGGCCGTGGGGGCAGCCGCAGGTGAAGCTGCCCGCCGTGTTGAGACAACGGTGCGAGCAGAGGGTGACGCCGGTCCTACATTCATCCACGTCTACTTACCAGAAAGAGGAGGGGGTAAAAAGGGGACGGGGCGGGCGCCTGTGGGGGGAGAGGTCAAGGCGCCTCTGCTGGGGAGAGGGCCGGCCGACTCACCCACGTGACAGTGTTTCCCTCCCCAGCCCGGAGCGCACTCGCACTGATCCGGCCTAATGCAGACGCCTCCGTTCAGGCACGGCTTGGCGCAGATGGCTGTGGGCAGGGGAAGTGGGGCTCAGACCCGAACCGACGGGCCTGGCTGCCCAATTCCGCGGGGCGCACCCCTGCAAGGCCTATAAGACCCGGCCTCACCTTCACAGGTGAGCACCCCCGGGTGCCGCTTCTTCCAGCCCTGACAGCACACGGCGTGGGTCTGCTGCACCTCCCGCTTCACCTCCCGCCATGCCACACGGTACGTGGTCCTGGAACACAGCGCCTGGCTCGCACCCTGGATACAGGTCCTGGTCGGGGTTTGTGGGGTCTCTCTTGAGAGACCCTGGAGTCCCAGCTCCCCATCCCTTACCTGTAGGTGCTGCAGATGCGCCTTCCAGCACACAGGGTCAAGTAGGGCTTGTACACTGGTTGGCTGTAGGACTCGTTGTAGCGAAGAGGGACCACCAATGTCTGCATGGAGCAGACCCCCTGACTGCATCCATGCCAGAGAAGGAGGTAGGAGGCATTGAATGGGCCAGACCCTGGAGTCCCAGTTCCCTCAAGGAGTCACAGTCCCAGCTCTCCCCCAGATGACAACCTCTCACCCCCATTCTAAACTTTCAACTTTGTTTAGCCTTCTGTGAAGCCCCCACCCCAAAGAAGGCTCCCGTGCAGAGCTCACCCTGGCTCCCAACCCCCTGAGGTTCCTATTTCCAGACTCCCCAAATCAGCAGAGGCTACTGGCTCTATAATACTACCAGTACCCTCTGTTGTCACCTCTCTTTGAGGGATCCACCCTTGGCCCCATCGCCTGACATCAGTAGCAGGAGGAATGTGAATCCGCCTAAGAGAGTGTACAGCTCAGCCCTGGACCCCATGATTCTCTTTGACTCCAGACTTTGTGGGCTGTAGGTAAGAAGATGTTAATGGATGCCATTCCCCTCTCCTTAGCTTCTCCAGCCCCAGCCCCTCCAAGAGCAGCTTGCTGGTGCCCTTGAAAGGGTTCAGGACATTCATTCATTTTTATATGCTAACCGCCAGGATTGTCTACAGCTATGTGTACATTCCACTAGCACTACCCTTTCCTACAGCATATCATGATCCATTCAGCATCATACAAGCTCACACCCAAACACACTCCCTCCACCTGCCCTCTTAACATACCCACACTCCTTATATTCTCTGCACAATCTGGAGAGACACATGCATAGTCAACCCTCCCCTCATGACCCTCCTATCTTTAACATGCCCACTTATAATTTAATCGTCATATCTTCAAAGCCCTAGACACACACCCTCACACCTTACACACAGACAGAAACACTGTGCCTTAAACACATTGCTATTCCCTTCACACACTCGTACCATCACATACATCCTGGACACACATCCCTCACTGACAGCACCCCTCAATTCACACCCACCCTAAGGCTGAGTGACCCTCACTGTTTCCACATCGACACTCTCCCCACCTGCCTTCCCCTCCCTCCATTCCCACCTGGCTTTCCCTCTCTCCCGGAGACTTCAAGCAGACCAGCCTCAGCAGCAGCAGCTCAGACTGGTGGGTGGGCAGGGGCAGGCTGGGAAGGAGAGGAGGGGCTGGGCCAGACAGAGTCCTCCCATTCCTGCCCCCTCCCACAAGCCTCCTCCTTAACTCCAGCCTGGTCAGCTCTGGGGTCAAGTCCCATTACCCTCACCCTCACCCAGCAAAACGCTCCCTAGAAGTTTCTTCCCAACCCTTTGAGGTCCCTATTTCTGGACTCCCCAAATCAGCAGAGGCTACTGGCTCTATAATACCATCAATACCCTTGGCCTTTGCCCCCTGCCTTCAACCCAGCACAGATTGGGGGAGAGTTAGGGGGCAGGGAGAGAGAGCTGGCAGGGAACAAAGCAGGTCAGGTCATGGGAGAAGGGGCAAGATCAGCTGAGGAAAGAAGGGCAAGTCGTCAAAAAGGGGCAGCAGGGCAACCCAGGGCACCAAGGGGAAAACTGCCCCCATCTCTTGATGACATTTATTAGGGCTTAGGGGGGAACAGAGTTGAGTCAGCCACCGCCCCCCATGCCAGAGCAGACAGGGCTCTTTTGTCTCAACCAAAATTCCTTCTTTCAAGGAAGAGGAGGCTCATTGTCCAGCCCCTCACTCAGCTTTGGCCTATAAAGCTCAAAACGGGGCACAATAAATGCCCATCCTGACCCTCAGCCCCCTCGTCTAGCCTGGGGGTGGCAGGCACATTCCACCCAGGAGTCTGAGGACCAAACCACTAAAGCCTCCTGCTCAGTTCCCCAATCTTAGGCTGGGACAGGAAGAGAATTGTCTCCAGCAGGAAAGAACCCGCAGAGAATCAGGAACCCACACAGAATGGGCATTCAGAGAGAGCGGAAACACCAAGGGGGTCCCCACCCCAGACCAGGCATCCGGACACCCAAGCCTCAGGCTCTCTATCCCCACCCTCCTTGGGGAGACAGGTCCCTCTTTTACCTGGAAATGAGCCAATCCACACTGAGGAAATGGAGTTTTATTTCCATAAATACAGGGGTAACACCCATTCAAGGGCAGTTAAAAGAGGGCCTGGGGCCTCAAAGAAACTAGGCTCCCAGGAGGTACCCCAACACTGATAATAGGGACTGGGGGAATCCCCAAACCTGAGATGGGCCTCGCAGGCCACAGATATTCCCCAACACTAACACTTCGAGAATGGACTGTCCCCATAGGGGAGCCTCAGAACCCCACTCTCATGCGTAGTCCCTCTTGGGGGTCAGGAGGGCTGATGACAGGAGTTCAGAGAAAAGGGGAACACAGGGAGAACAGAAGCTAAAAATGTCCTGAGTGGCCTGGAAGGAGACCCCTGTGGTGGGCAGGGGCTAGGTTCTCCTCTTGTACAGCCAGATACAGAGGAGCAGCAGCAGCAGGAGCAGCCACAAGTTAAAAACCTGGTTTCTCATTTTCCAACTTCGGCCCTGGGAGAAAGGAAGAGCATGGGACAGTCCCCCAAATGAGAGGCTGTGAGGTAGGGGAGACCAGGACTTGTCATTCAGGGGGCGGAGGAGGGGGATTCTGAGAGGCCTGGTTGGTAGGGGGCAGTGTGGGAGCAATGAGATGGTCACAGGCACTCCAGAGCCTGACATCCACTTTCCAAGGCCACCACTTGGTCTCTGGGCTGGGGGGTTCCTGGAGACCCCTGAGGACATCTTCAGGAGAGCCAAGGTTCAATGCAGGTCTCATAAAGGGTGCGGTTGGAGTGCCAGACCGTGTGGGAGATCCCGGCCATGGGACACCTCACTATGGCCCCCCGGGCCAAGAGAGTCTTCAACCCAAAAGAATCCCGCAGATAAACCTTCCAGGTGGGGCGAAGGGGCAGGGAAACATGGAAGAAAGACACAAAGAGAGACGAAGTGAGTTACTGCTGGTGTCCTGGGCCACCTCCCCACAGAGTGAACCCTTTGAAGGGGGAGCTGTTCAGTGGCAGCCAGAGCTCCAGAATGAGGTGGGACAGTGGATGAAGAGAGGGGAAGTAATTCCAGGGGACTCACCAGTTGCTCCTCCATCTCCAAGACGGTCTCATTTGCATCATAGAAACCAAAGAAGCTACAAAGAGATGTGGGAGGAGAGGGGGAAAGGTTATCAGAAGACCTGGGGAAAATCAAAAAGGGCTAGGGTCCTTAAGAAACTCACAGCCTATTGAGGAAACAGGCAGCAGGGAGAATGCTCAAAAATATTTAATTGAGCCGGACTCAGTGGCTCAGCCTGTAATCCCGTGCCTTGGGAGGCTGAGGTGACTGGATTGCCTGAGCCTGCGGGTTTGAGACCCGCCTGGGCAACTTGGCGAGACCTCATCTCTACAATAATTCAAAAAATTACCCGGG